GCGTGACTATGAGATATTGGCCTTTGCCCCCGTAATCGAACCATATGTTGGCGATGATTGCGTGATCCCAAAATCGCAGCATGAGCAGTTGTCCAGCGCCTGGGGCAATCAGATTCCACTGATCATTGGCGGTACCTCTTTCGAAGGACTCTTCTCGTACCGCACCACCCTGGACGATCCACTTTATATGCTGAGTGCCTTCGAGGCAATTATACCGAAACAGGTTCGCGAAGCCATCGATAAGGATGAGCTGGCCGAGATGGTGAGGAGACTGAAGAAGTCCTACTTTGACGATCCCGACAGGGCCAGCATGGAGCTCTTCGAGTGCCTGCACATCCTGAGCGTCAAGAACTTCTGGCACGACATCCATCGCACCTTGCTGGCCCGACTGGCCTATGCGAACGCCTCGTCCACGTATCTCTACCGTTTCGATATGGATTCCCCACACTTTAATCACTACAGAATGTTGAAGTGCGGAAAAAAAGTGAGGGGTGTGTGCCATGCAGATGACTTGTCCTACTTGTTCTACGGAGTGCTCTCCAGTAAACTGGACAAGAATACACCTGAATACCGGACCATTGAGCGGATGGTTGGCATGTGGACAGCATTTGCCACCACGGGAAATCCCAATTGCGATATAATCGCTCCCTTAAAATGGGATCCACTGCGTCCAGGTGTTGTGGAGCATTGTCTTAACATTGCCGATGGTGTGGAGTTCATCCCATTGCCCGAAAGCAAACAGTTTGTTCTCTGGGATAGTTTCTACACCAGGGAGAGTCTATACTAAGGAGAGTTCATACTAAGAAGAATCTATACCAAGGAGATTAAACTTAACAAACCATATAAACAATAAGTCTTCGGAAAAATCAAAAAGCTTTAAATGGTGTCTTTGCTAGCTTAAAAAATGTTAGATATTTTATAAGTGAATCTTTAGCCCATGCCAAATTGTAACAACATTGCCAATATTAAAAAAAATCATTATATCTATGGACCAAATCAATAAATATAAAGAATCTACTGAATCAAGGTCTGCTACCATCTGTTCAAGGCATAAAATATTTCTTTCCTCTAAAATAACACAAGAATTAACCCATAAACCGAATGCGACTCTTCCAATTATCCCACACCAAAAATTATTTGCTTAATTTATTCTTCTGCATTTTATTTCCTTTTTATGATGGCAGCGTTTTTCGGTTGGAATTGATTCCGCAGCCAGTTTTATCCGGATCTAGTGTCTGGGTCGTGTTTGCGTTTCTTTTATTGACTTTTGGGCAGGCTGCCAGGAATTTCTTGGTAGCCAAGGGAATACCGCAGGTCATTGTTGTCATTCTCATAATCTGTTCTCCTTTAATGGTTTGTTCTACTTTTTCAACCATTCAAAAGCTCATAAATTTTTTGAAATGTTTAAAAAACAATTAATTTTTTTTTTAGGAATTAAGTCGTGTCGTTTTAAAATTGTTTAATGACATTAACAGGAACTGAAAACATTTATAGAGAATTTTATAATGCCGAGGCAAACATAATTTGTATTTATAGTTCAGAGTATTTTTAGACAAACGACAAAACGAGTTGAGTTAATTTGCACATTTATGTGTTTTAAATATTTTTCATAGGAATTCCAGTTCTGATTTTGTAAAGCCAAAATTCTCGTTAAATTTTTAGCCATGAGAAAATGCAAATTCCCCGATTTTAGAGGGTATCTTAAACGATTTGTTTATACAATTGTTTATAACATATCTAGATAAAGTTTATGGCTTTCGTTTATTTTGGGTTCTGGCATCGAGCCAGACCAACGGATCGATTTAAATTTTCGAAATTTCTTTCATTATTTGATTTTGTTTGGTTTCACTCGCATTGCTTTAAATAAAATTTGAGCATAAATATTTAAATTGCTTTTCGCACTTTTCGCTGAATGGAAATTGGTGGGCGTGGCTGAAGGGGGGGCGGGGAAAACGCACTCGCTGGTCTTCTATAGGCCCGGTTTGGTGTGCTTTCTGGCAGCCGGCCAAAAAGAGAATTTCCATGGTTTACTGGGTTAAATTTAATTAATTTGTCTCGTCGCCCCAGCCCAGTCGCCATGATTTTCCCAGTTTGATTATTTATTCATCCTGCATTTCCCTGAATAGGCTCGACGGACACCTCTCACACCCCTCGCTGCAGCATTGCAGCATTTGCCATTTTATTTGTCTTTATTTATTTATTTATTATTTTCGTGGGCATTCATTTTTTCCACAGTTTTATTTTTGTTTGGGCTTTACTTTTTCCTGCGAAATTTACACAATTCCAATTAATGGCATTTAATTATTTATCCGGCATTTTACACATTGCATTCCCGAGTTTCGAGAGGCGACTGCGGCAGCGGCAGCGTCCCACCAGCTGTGAATTTTGCATTTTTATAGCATGTTGGAAATTTCTGCTCTGAATTTAAAATTCAAATTGTTTTGGTTTCGTGCCGAGGGCGGGCGGTTGCGGTGGGTGGCGATGGGCGGTTGTTGGGGGCCGAAACTCTACAAATTAATTTGCAATTGTGGGCTTTGTTGCGTGAGAAAGCCTGGGAGGCTAATGGGGGTTATTTGCATTTTTTTCGGATCAAAAATCCACCGTCTTTTAATAAAAATGTCTCTAGATAATTGCCACTCAATAAATACTTTTTCGGTCAAATTTACCAATATAACAGTTAAAGGGGCTTAACCTATTGAATTGCCAGTTTAACTAACGAAAATGTCACTTTTACTACAACAAAATACACACATCATACTATTTTATGGTAGTTTTTCTGTTAAATAGTAACCAAATACGAGTCACAGTTAATGTAATTAGTAGTAAACTAGTTTTATAGTTACTAAACTATCCGTATTGGTCAACTTTACCCATACAAAACTTTTACAACAACGAAATACCCACAACGTACTATTTTTATGGTAGTTTTTCTGTTAAATGGCAACCAAATACAAGTCACAATTTATAATCAGTAGTAAACTAGTTTTAAACTAAACTATCCTTATTGGTTGATTTTACACATATAATTTGTTTGTGTGTAGTGTAAGTTATAAGTAATATTATTTTATACCAAAGCTCTCTCTAAAGCTCTCAATTCATAATTTTGTTGTTTAAAATATTGTGATCTATGCCATTTAAGCATAAAACATAATAATTTCTTCCTAATCAATAATTCAATAACCAACTTTAAGGAACATCAATGTAAGAAATCTTTTGTGAAACCGAATAAAATCGTGAATCATTCAATAAACACTAAGCAGAGTGAACCCAATTTTGATGCCCCAGTCCCCGAGACACGCTCCAACCACCACTATCAATGAGTGAAACCAGGGCGATGTCTCAAATTTATAAATACATTTTCGCATTCAGAAATAAAATCAAAAGAAAAAAAACGGAGACAGTGCGGGGGAAAAAACAAAATGCGAAACAAAAACGAAAAAAGCGAAATAATCGCGGAAAGCTATTAAAATTTAATCAGAAACACAAGCGACCCTGCGGTCAAAATTCCCACAACATTCGCCGCCTTTACGAGGGCTCCTCCCGTGTGACCCCTCCTTGATCCCCACAGTGGTGTGGCTTGTTGGAGGATGATGATAATGCCCTCTGTCCAGGGGGACAAGGGGAATATACTCCATAAAGTATACACCGAAAAAAAGTTGGCATAAAAAAGCAAACCCTTGTATTAATTCTTTAATTTATTATAGGATGAGTATTAAAGTAATACTTTCAAAGTATTATAAATTGATTTAAAAATAATACCATAAAAAGTGCTGCTATAAAAAAAAGGACAGACGTAAAATAAAACGAAAACAAAGAATAACTAATTCTTAACAATACACAGAAACCTTATAAAGTGACACTTTTCTCGAAAATTGAACTTACACAACATCATTTTTCTGGCTACCCTACAAATAAATTAAAGATCTGTCCTGAAAAAGGCTAGAAATGCCATCCCTGACCAAAAATTCCACTTCTAGACTTTTTAATATAGAAATAAAACTGTAAGGTTAAGACTTTATGTAATTTAGTATTCAATCTTTACTTTAATTTCAATACTATCTCTGGTATACTTTTAATACAACCTGTATTAAATCTTAATTTTCTGTTTTTTATGAGTGTACTATAATATAAAGTATATATATGTTTGTGGAGGCTGACGATGGCGACGACGACGACGACGACCCCACTGATTAATCGTTCGCACAGTGGAGAGCCTTACTCCTGGGTCAATCTCCATGGCGCCAGCATCATCATGATCATCGCCCAGCCTCATCGGAATGGTCATATTGGATGCTATGGCCATATTTTTGTTTATTTTGATTCGTGCGACGCGAAAAACTGCTCTCGTAAATTTGTTTCTTCTCTTTTGTTTTTTATTTTGTATTTTGCCAACGTTTGTTTTTTGCCGTTTTTTATTTTGCACTTCCTCTTCTTTTTTTTACCCAGTACCCAGCATGGTATACTCGCCTTTTCCACCGCACCCTAACCATTTTTATTGAATTCCATTATGTATGCAAGGGTGAACAATATTGAAATTTTCACAAAATATTTTGAAAAGCTCTGGTATGCACTCGCCAGCATCCATAAACATTTCTATTTGCATATTCATACATGTTATGTGGCTGCGTGCATACAGTTGAGGGGTTAACTTAATGGGAAACCCCCTGGGTTATTTGGCAGAGATAAATGTTTAAATTTCTGATTTCATAGGAATTTCTGTGGGATTATAAGTCCAAATAGTAGTTATAGGTATCGTGTTTGTCACATAACTCATTTACCTCTAAATATTACATTTATAAATATTTTTTTTATAAATAAAACCCTTTCCTTTAAGTATAGATATTATAGAAGTACGATCAGAACCAAATAGGTTGCTCAACCCCGGTTTACCACGACCCCATTTTGCCGAGAAATATCAATTGGGCTGACAACACCGGATGAATCTGCTCCATATGCATGTATGCCAATGAGGGGGTTGGCCATTTGAATTGCAAACTCACCTGATGGGCGTTCCACTGATGCATGAGGTCCTCGTAGCAGGGCAGACAGGCCTGGATCATGCCGCGGGGATCCTTCGGTCGGGACCTTGCTGGCCGCGGATGCTGCTCGTTGAACAGGGGAAAGTACGGCACAGATTGTCCTGGTCTACCGGTTTCCCTCGGCTTCACCGTACTCAGTTCGATGAGACTACCTCTGCGCTGCTCATCGCCGCACACGTAGCACACTTCGGTGATGGAGTTCTTGTCCGGCATGGACAAATCCAGGATTCCCACTTCCGATTGCGGTTGACTTGGCTGGGAGATTGAGGCACTGCTGCCGCCATGACGTGGTGCCGGTGGGGGGACACTGGAACTGGAGGAGTTCCGTAAATCTAGCACTGTGGCATTGTCATCTTCGAGTGCGGACGGTGCAGGGGGTCCCAATGGACCGCCACCAGGTGAGGGCAACGCACTGTAGGGATTACCCTTGTAGTGCGACGACTCTGATGCCCCACCGCCAGCGTTCACCTGCTGCAACAAATGATAGGCGGCCGTCTGTTGCTGCAGCTGCTGATATTGGGCGGGATGATAAGGCGCCTGTCCTTGGTAGCCAGGCGGCGGTGCAGAGCCCAGCTTAAACTTCTGCTGGGCATAGCCGGCGGATTTCATGGCCGGCGGTTCGCTGGGCGGTCGGGATGTGGGCGAGGCCACTGGCATGTCCCGCGATTGTGGCCTGCTCAGGTATCTGTTGTGGTTGCTCGACGGCGTCGAGTTCCTGGGATAGAAGTCCCCACCACCACCACCACCACCACCGGCAGCACTGGGATTTGGCGAGGGTGAGGCATTCCTTGAGGTACTGTGGTGGTGTAGATGATGTGACTGCTGCTGCTGCGGCGAGTAGTGCCGTGCCAGGGCGTAGGGATCGCCATGCCCCTCCACCAGACCATTCTGGGTGAGATGCTCTGCACTGAGGCCCAACACCTGGGCGGCATACTCGCTTTGTGTGGCCACATCGGCTCCTATGTAGCCCTTTCCATCCACCCGCTTCATATGGTAGATGCGCTGCAGCAGTGGCTTCTTCTGTCGCTCGTAGGCATCCCATTGCTCGTTCAGGGATCGAAAGCAGAGCATGCACGCCCACACGTACTCCTGGCCAGGTGACACACCCGCCACCCCGTTCGGTGGCTCATGGCGCTCCAGAAAGGGGAAATATGACTCGGCAGGTCGCTCAGGATTGTGGCGAATCCTCAAAGGTTGCGGCTCATAACCACCATGTCCTCCGCACACAAAGCATATGGTCATGGGCACATGATGATTATCGGGTGGTGCCGAAGCCCGTCCCGTCGACTTCACTCCCGGATAGTAATGCTGGGCGGGATGCGGCTGATAGCCCAAGTGGTATGGCTCGCCAGGTGTCCTGCTGCTCCGATGGGCGGCTGCTCCGGGTGAGGGCATCAGCTCCACGGGCGGGTAAGGCTGCTTGGTCCCTGGGAGCGTTCCAGGCAAAGAGGCTGGAGAGGTCGGGGTCGGCGTGGTTGCTGGCTCGGATTGCTGGCTGCCACCGCGAAGTTCATTTTTGATATATGCCTTCGCCTTTTCCATAATATTTGCAGCTGCAATGGGGAAGGGAAAGAATGAAATCATTAGATATTGTTTTTAACCCTATATAAAATCTTATATTTAAGTTCCCCTATATCAATGATAAAAATACGTTTGCAAAATTGCACTTTACAATCAAGTAATAGTTCTTGGAATGAACTATTAATGATTATATTAATAAAATAAGCTGAATTCCTTATCCAAAAATATTGTTTAATTTTAAAAAATTAAAAAGAAATCTATAAAAATTATCCTTAAAAATAAAAACCGTAAACCTTTTAATGCTTATCCCGAAATCTAAGGATCATATGTATGTCACGATCGTAAATTTCAAAAAGTTTGATAAGCTTCCCTGAAAAGAAACCCAGATGACCTCTACTTTTTTCGAATTCAAATATAAACTGGAACCTATTTAATATTGAAATCTCAGATCCATAGACCAGCCTCCAGTCCAGTTGACAGCTTTTCGCGATCAGAAATTCGATGCTCGTTAATCGAACGATTGCCAATGGCGATAACCTATTTCAGCACGGGTCTCGCGATAACCCGCATCACTCTGCGATCATGATCTTTGAGCTCCCCGGGCATCAATGTGGGAAGTATATAAATAAATAAATAGCGATCGAAAAAAAAGGAAAAAGATTTGCATGTTAAAGTGATTCGATGATTTGTCGGACGTTGATTCTTGTTTCTGAGTCGATGTGGTTATATTTGATTTGATTTACTTCGGTTCTCGTTTTTTGTGCGACTCGCATTTGCTTCCATTAATATGTATAGAGATTTCAGACATGTGACGCAAGTCGTACACTCGAAAGATCAACGGAATATGGAGCTGATAACGAGCGAAACGGAAAAGAAAAATCAGCGGAGAGGAAAGCCCCACGAGTATGAAATCAGATGTACGAAACTTTTTCGCACTTCGAAGTACCAGATAAATCCGGTCGGTCGCCTGGCCAAATATATCGCTTATTTGTTTATAGCGCGGACCAGATCCGAATGGTGCTAATTCGCTTTATCAAGTACGTACTATACATACATATGTGCCAAATCAGCTTGGGTCCACAGCGGATCCGCTAAACAATTTTGTGCTGTCCTCGTTTAGCGATTCTCATCATCATCATATCATCATGGAAACAACAATTGAACAATGGAGCGCTTTTTTGCAATTGGATTATTTTTTAATCAAAATTATGCAATCACGGTATTTGCTTCGGACTAATTAAATGTTTCATCATTTATTTACAGAAATGTAAGCAATTTTCCAGCAGTAATTTTCATTGGCCATAATAAAGTTGTATAATGTAAACAAAAAGCATGCAAAAAGGAAGTTTTTCATATTGCAATTATTTTTAATTTATTTATGCGCATTTTTATTGATTTTTTTCCTTTAGAGTTGGTGGCTTTTAAAGCGGGCGCCAGCAATTGTTTTTGCTTTTCAGCCAGCTGCAGGGGGAAAATGCAGTTTCAAGCGCTCATATTTTGTATTTTTCCCTTATTTTTGTGGCCCCAGCTTTTAAGAGTTGTTTGCTCTAATTTTTTTTCCTTTAGTTGGACTTACAGTTGGGGTCAAAATAATTGTTGTTTAATGTTTTGAATAATTTAATTTAAAAGTTTAAAGGCAGCTCTAAATCTTATTTAAAGTTATTACCAGGGATGAAATTGTAATACATATTGTTTTAATTTTAACAGCAATTTAGATATTACATTTTAATTAAACAAAGTAGAAAATTTGGGATTTATAAAATAATCATATTTTTCTAAAATTACTTTTATTTTATTGGTGAACTTTGTCCTTAAATAGGATTAAATTATATTTTGTATTGATAGGTGCCTTTTTAAAATAATTTAGTTTTATGTACCATGTTTTAAATAATAAAATGTAAATTCAAAATATTTGTACTACATATTATAGTATGTAGAGGCGTATAATATCCAAGGATTACCAAGGATAAAATCTTAATACTCATTGTTTTTATTTAAACACCAAATAGGATGTTACAGTATAATACTTAATGACTTCTACAAAAACTAGGGACTTACAAAATATAAAAAATAAAATATTTTCCGAAGTCTTTTCTTTTTTTTTCCTAAACTTGATCCCTAAGATGGGAAAATAAATATTTTGTACTGATACCTTTTGAAACAACTTCTTTTTCTATACCATATTTTCAAAATTCAAATTTAAATGCAAAATATTTTTAGTTTACATCTTAATTGATGCAAAAGTAAGAACATTTTTTAAATAGAGTTATTTATAATTTTAGATGAGCACTTCTATTGTGTTGACCGCGACTGTTTGTTATGTTTTGCAGAGTTTTTGCCTGGCCCGCTCTTGAACATTGTTGCTTTTGTTGCCGCCCACCTGCCCCATTTTCCCTCCCCTTGCAGTTGTTTTCAAAAGTTTTTGTTTTTTTTCCTTCCAGCAGCTCACAGGAACATTTTTATGGCTCTCATGTCCTTGTTTTTGTTATGGAGGGCGTGGCATAACCCGAACAAGTGAAATAGAAAACCAAGCGAACCAATGTTTAAAGTTTTCCTTTTTCCCCCCAAAAAAACGAAGAAAAGCTTGGCTTTAACCAATGAACTCGCGTTTATCGTCGATGTTCTTGGCTCTGTTTTTTTTTTCTATAGTTATAGTTATAGCTGTAGCGGAAGTTGCATACAATAACAATAACAAAACGAACAAGTTTTCGGGACAAAAAAAAAAAAGAAAAAGTTGCGTTGTTCAGAAAAGTTTTTAGCGTAGTTGGAAATTCTTTTCTTTCGCTCTCTTCTCGATTATATGTTGAGTTCTTTTTTTCGGGTTCTTGCTGTAGAACTTGCAAAAGTGAGTTAAGGTGCTTAAGTTTTGCCGTCTCTATTGTTCGACGCTTTTTATCTATGCTTTTATTTCTGTGCCAGTTTTCTCGAGGGAAAACTCAGCGCCGCGGGAAGTAAACTGCATTTGGAGGAGATGGCCAAAATGGGGGGGAAGAAGAATTTAATAATAAATCTCGGAATGAAATATGAAATCGCAGCGAGCCAAAAAGGATGTTGTTGTGCATATTTCTGCGGATGTTCATAATTCATATTTCCCCCAACTTTTGGCTGGCCTTTGACGCAATTGAAGTTACCAGCGAAATTGAATTTTAAAATTTGCATTGGCCAAACAAGATGGAAAGCGGAAGCACGACTAACAAAAGCAAGAACTGAATGGACAGATAAATCCCGACCGAGATGCAGAAACAAAAACATGGCAATATGACAGCCGGCGGAGGGGTTGGATGGGAAGTCGAAAATGGAATTTATTAAATAGCATTCCGCGCTATAAACTCTTGCGAAATAAAAACAGCAAAAACCGCGCACAAACAAACACACACAAACACACACACACACTCGCATAATCAAATAAAACAACTTGGACATGCAATTTTATGGCAGGACGTCGGCTCCCTTTCTACACCCTCCTCCATTCCATTTGGCCAACTCCTACCTCTCAGCCCCTCCACCCTCCGCACGCAGCGTAAACAGACACAAAAACAATCAAAACGAGAATTAAATGGGAGATGTGGGGCTCGGAATGGAGAATACCCTTACAGAACTCATATTCCTTCGGTATTTCCAGATCTTTTGATCTTTCATAGAACTTACTTTTTTAAAAACAAAAAATATACCAAACGAATCTAACTAATATTTTTGGGACATGCTTATGATGATATATGATCACAACATTTCCGTTTCTTTTGAATATTTTAGTAACTCATTTAAGCAATATTTTTTAAAGTCCGATACAATTTGGAAAGGCCACGGAAGGAGTTGAAATCTTTTTTACCCCCACCCTTACAGACCTCATATTCGTTCGGTATTTCCAGATCTTTTGATCTTTCATAGAACTTACTTTTTAAAAAACATGATAATAAAAACGAAAGAAAGGAGTAAACGAATCTATCTAATATTTATGGGACATGTTTATATATGATCACAACATTTCCGTTTCTTTTGAATATTTTAGTAACTTACTTAAGTAATATTTTTCAAAGTCGATTAAGATTTGGAAAGGCAAGGAATGGAGTTAAAATCTATTTTACCCCCACCCTTACAGACCTCATATTCCTTCGGTATTTCACGATCTTTTGATCTTGCATAGAACTTACTTTTTAAAAAACCTGATAATAACAAAAACGAAAGAAAGGGCTAAACAAATCAAACTAATATTTGTGGTATATATTCTTGTGCTAATATATGTATGACATATAATAATATATGATCCATGTCCATTTAGTATCCATTTAAGAAAAGTGTGATTAATATTTTTCAAAATTGGTTACGATTTGGAAAAGCAAAGAAAAGAGTTATAATGTTTTAATAACTATGGGAAATTCTAAAAAATATTATTGAACTAAACTTTGAAGAATTTATTTTTTAAAAAACCTAATAATAAAATCAAAATAAAGAACCCACTTTTCGAATATTTTACTAACTCACTTAAGTAATATTTTTCAAAGTCGGTTACAATTTCGAAAGGCAACGAAAGAAGTTAAAATCTTTTTTACCCCCACCCTTACATACCTCATATTCCTTCGGTATTTTGCGGTCTTTTGATCTTTTATAGAACTTACTCCTTAAAAAACCTAATAATAATAAAAACGAATGAAAGGACTTAACGAATCTAACTAATATTTGTCGAATATATTCTTGTGCTTACATACGATGTATAATAATAATATATCATCCAACGCCGTTTCCTATAAATATTTTATTAACTTACTTAAGAAAACTGGTAGTAATATTTCTCAAAGTTGGTTTCGATTTGGAAAAGCAACGAAAAGAGTGAAAATCTCTTATTAGATATGAGAAATTCGGAAGTTATTAAATTAAACTTTAAAGAATTTTCTTTTTTTTAAATCCAATAATAAAAACGACAAAAAGACTGAACATATGTAATATTTTTCTTATTTCGAATATTTTACTAACCCACTTAGGTAATATATTTTTGGAAAAACCTGATATTAAAAAAAAACGAATCTAATCTTATATTTCCGCTTATTTCGAATATACTAACTCACTTAAGAAAAACTTTTCAAAGTTGGCTACGATTTGAAAAAGCAAATAAGAGTGAAGATTTCCTATTTATTTTATTTATTTCATTATGACTTTTGAAATGTTTTCTAAACTAGGAAGTTCTATCCTTTTCAAAAATTAGTTAGGCTTTACAAACTCTTAAACGAAATTATAATACTAATTGAAAGAGTATGCAAAATGTGCAATTTAAAAAAGAGGTAAAACAAAAAGACCGCTCAACATTTTTTCCATTAAGGGTACCCAAAAAAACTGGACAGCTAAAAGGGAATCAGGGATCTAGAGGGAAGGCCATCAGCGTATTCAGGTTCTCGGGCCTGCTGGATAAAAAAGGCAAGCCGAATAAAAAGGTTAAATTAATAACCGTAGTCGCTCTTTAAAGTTCAAACCAAATGTGACATATAAAAACCGATATATGTCTGTTCATATGTATGTACGACTAACGAAATGCATATTTAATTATGGCATAAATCATCCTTTTTATTTCGATTTTCGTTTTATTTATGATGGGGTTTGTTTTTTCTGCTGCAAAAGGCCTGCCTAATTAAATTACCATTTTAATGATTATATAATTTCGTCTGTTTCATATATAAAATAATTTAAGATTTAAATATGCGTTTGGGAAAATTGGTAATCGGTTTTGGTAATTAAACAGATTTTATTTATTAGACTTCATTTGTTCAAAAATATTTCTAAATTACATTTGATTAACGGAATTAAAACGAATTTTTGCAAATTTTTACGAGATTTTGAAAGGGACTTTAAATCACCAGTGACTTTTTAGGTATCAACATATAAAAATATCTAAAAAAGTATATAGACCGCAAAATAAATTCAAATGTTGTGGGTTCTCCATTATTTGAAGAAAGTTTTTACTCGAGTCCATGACAAATCTTAAGAGGAATGCTGCTATCGCATTTCGCGAATTTCCATCCATAAAAAATTGGGCTATTTTCGTCACAGCATATCGTTAAAAGCCACTATGCCGATGGAAATGGTTTAATCTTCATAAAGATATAGCTGGACATACGCAATCTTTAATGAAATTTTTATGAAATACTTAAGTTTGAGGCGGACACATGTGATTGAAACCGAATGGAACCAAACTGTCAAGTTGGAATTGATTTAAATTAATTGAATTTTCAATTTGTCTTTTGCCGGCTTGCGAACCGAACCGGTAACCGTTAACCGGTTTCAACCGATTCAAGGCGAACCATCCAATTGAGCAAACGGTATTTTAATATTTTAACTGATTGATGGCAGTTAATATGGCCTGATTGTTCCGATACTGACCTGTGCTCCGGGGTGCTTCGGCCTATTCCAGTTGACTCCTATTAATCCAACTCATGTGCTTGTTTTTGTAAGGGAATTACCGTGTTGACTGAAGGTGGGAACAGGTGAAATGGGGGCTTTACGGGAATTAAAGCCGGATAAGGGGGATTGAAGGGATTTAACTTCAGGGCAAACACATTTGGTTTCAGGCACTTTTCTAGACTTTCCTTAGGGGTTTCTTTGTTTTTTTTCTTTGTTATCACTCTTTATTTAAATTTTTTCAGTTGCTTCGAAAGCTATTAAGAGCACTAGTGGATTTTCAAACTGAAAATTGAGCAATTGGTTTTAATATTTATGGGTATGATTATTTGGTTCTTATAATTGATCTGATTATACACGGTATTTGTGCGTTTGGCTCATTGAACTTTATATCATGTTGGCTGTTTCCGGTTTTTTTTTGATAATGGGTTGTTTTCTGTTTTGCTAAACTGGGAAAATTATAATGAATTTGGTCATTATTATTTTAAACTTGTTGGAGTTTTTTAGTGATTAAATTAAGCATTGGTCATGCCTACACTTTATTTTTTTTTAAATATAATTTTTGTTTTTATAAATCCTTGACTTAACCTCATTTGAAATTAATCTTATTTTACATTTTTTTTAATCATGGCTATTTTTTTGTTTGTTAAGATTGCCTTAAATATCAAGTATCAGCTTGTTAAATTCATTAAGGCGCTATTATTTTTAAGGTTTGTTTTGATGATTTAAAATTGGTTTTTGTTGTTGAAATTTAATGAAAATATTATCACAAATGTACAATGAACCAAATTTTAAATTACAAGTTATTTTTAATGGGAGTTTCCCTATATGTTATAGGGTGTTGACTAAGAGTTTAATAAATAAAATTGCTAGTAGACTGTATGTCTATGAATTGTTTACATTGTAAGCATATTTACAGAATACAGAAAAACAAAATTGGTTTCATGGTCACTTAAATGTTTTCAAAAACTGTTAAGATCAGATCACAAAATATTTTGTCGGTTTATTATACCCCTGTTATCTCAGGTGTTTTTTTACTACGGCTGTTTTGTTGGTAACTGATAGCTTTGAACTTCACTTTCTGCCAGTGTATTCTGTTCACTTTGTAAACATTTTTACAGAATTAAGAACAACAAATTTCGTTTCATGGCCACAGCGGTGGTCTCTGCGTCGACGTTGGCAGCGCCGCCGACCGAGACGTCGACGTCGGCAGCGAAAGGCGACACCATTTCACCGGCGACCATTCGAAATGAGTGCGACAGAGACGCACGATCGCGATCGCACACACACACACACACGCACACATGGGCGCTGCAACAGTTGCAGCAGCAAAAACAACAACAAGACCGCTGATTTTTTGTACTTTATTTGTGTTTTTTTTCAACGCTGCGACCTTGGAACCGTTAGCTTTTCAAGCTGAACTCTTGGACTGTTAAGTTACCAGCGGTTTTAACTCCTTAAAAGCGCTTATCCAATTGTTTGCCTTTTGCTTTTGTTGCTTGTTGCTGCTGCTCTGCCGCTGCCTCTGCCGGCGTCAGCTGCTCGCTTTCGAGTGTGTGTGTGTGTGTGCGTGTGTGTTTATGTGTGCCATCCGTTTGTTTTTGCTAAAAACCCTTTTAGTTTGGCGTAATTTGTCACACACCTTGCAATTGCAATATTTACGGATAATTCGCGGGGCGTTGTTGATTTGTATGGGTGATTTTTAGCGCGGAGGTGGATCGGCGGAGACGACGGAACAGCGATATATAATTGCAGCAGTGGCAAGAAGAAGAGCCGACCAGCAGTGGCGGCCAGTGTGTGCACACCACGGCGAAATTGCCACCTGGCCGGGCAGCGTGGCCACACCGTTGGAATTTGGCGGGGCGAATGGCGCAAAGGGAAGAAGAAGCAGCCAGTCGTCAGCTGTTGCTCACTGGCTGCTCAAATTGAGCCGCGTGCTAACGCGTTGACAAAGTTATTTGGCGCCAATTTTGAAATAGTTTTTTAATCGATTAATAACAAGCTAGTCTCTCCGTTTTAAAGGTTTCCCAAAAGTCTTCTTTCTACCGCAGATAGTATATTAGTCGGATTGAGCCGAATTATAGCTCTCCAAAGGAATAACTGAAAAAAAAATTGAAAAAGAAGAAAGCTTGATTTTGCGTAATATCATCTACTTTTGGACATATAATTTTTGTAATATTTCAGAATTAAAAAATAATGGGAAACAAAAAAGATATTAGAATTTTGATTTAATTTAATAATAATCGGACAACTATATTAGTTAGCTGCAACAGGAAGGATCAAAAAGTTAATATCAATCCGCTTTCATTTATTTAGTAGTAAGTAAATAAAAGTAAATCTAGAAATCACACTTTTGTAATAAAATTTAAAATTAATAAAAAAAAAAATATAGTTTCAAAATAACAATTTGCTTGCCGACGTTAGCTAATTTTCTTGTTTTATCCTACTTTCTAAATGGTTCTTGGAAATATTTAAGATTTTTACTATGAAAATATACAATTTTTTATCGGATGCTGAAGTTTAAAACATTTCTAACTATTTTAAAAAGTTTACAATTTTAGTTCATTAGTTTCTTTTTTAGAAAACTTAAACTCCCAAGGAAAATAAGCAAGCGTTACAGTTCAACCTGAAATCCATTCAACATAAATCCGAAATTAATACATCATTAAAATGAATACAAAAGTTATTTTTATTATTTCTCTTTTTCTGGGTAAGCTTTTGATTAAAAGGACAGGGCTTTTCATAATCTAGTTCCATTGCAGGTTTACGAATTGGGACAGCAGTTATGGGTGCACCAACATCCAAAGATCTGCCTGGGGAATTGGCAGTGCCCAATAATACTGTTGAATCGCTCCCAGAGGTCATACATCCAATTTTGGGTCGTCTCCACAAGATTCCGCAGTATTTTAGACGTCTAAGGATCGATGTGGAAAAAGAATTGCATGGAAAGATTGAACCAAAACTCTCTTTATGGCCTCCTTTCTTCGCAGTTTCAGTGGAGCAGCCAAAAACCAAAGATATTGAGGTCAATTCGCAGAACCAATTCGAGGATGTCAAGCCAAGTCCAAGTGTGGAAAATTTAATGTTGATGCGCATCCTCATAGAACATGTTTGTAGGTGGACCAGACTAATTACCTAGAATATCTACAAAACCTAGATCTTTTTTCCATCAGGGAAAGATGCCAAAGCACTCATAAACAAGAAAATGAAAGGAAAAGACAATGAGGTTTAGATGATTTCAAATGAGAGGAACTTGATGATGACATTTTTTGAGAAAGAACTTTTATTTCGAATTCTTTTTTTGGACGACGACAATATGTTAAAGTAATAGAGGAAAGGCAGTGTCCAGATTGATAAATAATAAAGAGAAGTATGGGAGAATTTGCAGAGGACTCCCGAGGAAAACGAAGAAAAACGAAACGAGATTGTCCAGATAGAAAAAAGAAATATTCCACTAAAAGCTTTCAAAACAAAAGGGGCCATGAAAGAAGTTTTCACTTTCCAAATAATAAACAACAGATAAATAGGTACATTTAAGGTATTTTCATTGGTTTTTCTTTTACATGTATATGTATATATATAGTATAACATTGTTAACATTTATTATTGACTATGTAATATCCACTGCAGAGATACTTTTCGTGTTTCGTGTTCTGTTTCCGTTTCTGTTTGTTTTGCAGGTACTTAGTACTACTTTGCTCCTTGGGTTTGCGATTATTGTACGCTTGTCCTATATACACACGCTAATATATATATATGTTCATTTAGTATATGTATCCATAGGGTATATATATGAGAATTTGGGGGTTTCTTCGGGTAGGGGTGGAATACTAAAGAGTTTAGGCGTTAATAAATACATCTCGAATTTAGTTGGTAAAATTGCTAACATTTAGTAAGTAACTATGTTGTACATTCAAGGGCTATATCGTATAAGGTATCGCTGATCTATAACGATCGTAAATATATCTATGTGTATAGTGTTGTATATGAATATGAAACAATCTGCAGTTATAGATTCTAGGCATAGGCTATGCAGTGAAGTCTTAGACGAGTTTTTTTCGTTTCTCTAGTTGATTTGTTCCCCATTTAGGTTGTGGTCATAGAATAACAGTGGATCATTTTGGTTCTCAGACAATCGGCACGCACACCCATTCCATCAGCCGGAACAGCAGCGAGCACAACCAATTCTAGGCGGCCGTCGTGACCTTTGGCTGTCCCCCAGGTCCGGTTGCTCCTGCTCCTGCCGCCGCCGCCTCCAAGGATGCGGGTGCCACTGAGATCTCCTCCAGCTGATGCAGCTGCTCCTCCACGGAGCAACCGTCGCCGATGTTGCTGCTGCTGGTGGTTGTGGCGCCGCTGCCGGTTTGGCTGGTGCGCAGCTCCGGCGGCAGATAGATTTTGACCACGCTGGTTATCTTCACCCGACAGTTGGGGCAGTTGCTGCATCTGCAATAGAGGATTTAAAAGGTTAATAAGGGGCTTAATAGTCAGGATAAAATTTCTAGAGGATATCGTCTTTCCTTAGGGGTAAAAAAAAACTATGGTATTGGTAACAGATCAGAAAAAGTGGGGTATCATTTAGATATTAACAGTTTGAACATGAATTGTTGGCATGTACTCCCATTTAATAGAATAAGAGAAACGCAATTTTCATAATCTATGTTACGCTATTCATTAATAACAAAAAGTTAAAAATTACCTTTTGGATCAATAAGATATTCACAGGTAAATCTGCACGTATCATATTTGCCATTAGATAATGTTAAATTAATAGTGAAAATTGCAATTGTTGATTTCTCCCTCTTCGAAAAAGTGAGTAAAATCAAGACAGTCATGTTCAAACATTCAAGAACTCAAAGACTAAAAAAAAGTTTCGGATTTATAAAAAATTCGCAGGTAAATTTACACCTATCATATTTACCATTAAATAAAGTTAAATTGATATTGAAAATTGCAATTCAAAAAAGTGATTAAAAGCAAAAAACTGTTCAAAGTGGTTTGTTTCAAATACCAAACCGTCTAAATTTCTTAATTTTTGAACTGCAAAAAACTGTCCAAACCGTCTAAATTTTCCTAAGTATAATTATTATAGTAATAGTTATAGTAAATTAGATTTTATACAGAATTTTCTCAAAACGAGTATCATTTCCTATCAATTTTTGTTTATAAGAGAAGTAGTTTGAAAATTATCTAGTATTGAATTATACCTAAAAGCGACTCTATTGTTATTATCCCATTTGGGAAAGGACTCTTTTAAAAGGATAACCCACCTCGCAGCGCACTGGGCACAGGCGATGACGTGACAGCAAGGATTGAACACCGTGTTGATGGCGCGGTCCATGCAGATCTTGCACTGCATGGCCTCCGAGATGCGCGTATCCACGCAACGCTCAATCGCCGCCTCACGCGCCTCCTTCTCGCGAATGGCCAAATCTATCTTGCCGGCCATGGAGCCGCCGGCACCAGTCGCCAGCCCGCTGACCCCCGCAACGGCGTCCATGGGATCGCCTCCGGCAGTGGCGCCCAATCCTCCAGCGGCAGCAGAGCATCCTTCCGCACCCTCGGCAATCAGATCGCCGCCCCGCTCATGGAGAGTCCTCCTCGCCTGGTCGTGAACCTCGCGACATGTGTGCTGGATGTCGAACACATAACGCTTGCCCAGCTCCGTGTTCTCCATGAACATGGAGGCAATGGTGCCCTTGAGATCCCGGGTGAACTGGTTGGTCACCACACCGCGCACTTTGTCGCACACATAGAACGCATGGCGCTCGGTTATGGAGCGGTATAGTCCCGCTGCGATCGGCTGCTTGGGCAACTTGATCTCCAGCTCCTTGCGATCGTTGTGATCATCCACGTACTCCAGTTTGAAAGTGCGACGCAGCGACTTGGCCGCAGCAATGGCGCCAAAGGGGATGCTAAATAATACAGAAGAATATTGATTAGTTTTGATAATTAACAAATATAAAGGTTCTAAGACTCGAATCTAACCAATCTCTTCAAAAAATTGAAATCTCTTTAAAAGCTGCCTAAAAGTATGCTGTAAAATTTAGCATAGCCTTCTTTCAGACACCTTGGTAAGTCATCTCCTAAGATTGTTTTGGAAATTCCCAAAAAAAACGTAACCTCTTTATTAACTGGGTTTATAGTCCTCATTAAAGCAATCATCAAACCTCATTATCCAGATTTATAACGCAGAAAGTGGGTTCTATTAAAATTACAACCTATGACTGCAATTTTGCGCTCCCTAAACTTGAAGGCAAAATCATTTCGTCCCAAAATGGCTATAAAAAAGTCATTTAATTATTCAGGTTAATGCACCATCTACTTATAAGAATGTTGTTTTCGTTTTGAGCAACTTTTTTCTTTGAAATGTTTTTCAAGTTTCACCTTGACTTTTGTTTAATGAATTAATTTTTGCTTTTTTTTGGGAATAAATTAAAAGCAATAATAAACAATATAAAGGTTAAATGATTCGATTGCAAAGGGAATAGGTTCAACTATAGGTTGGTTATCTTGCTTGAGCTATGGATAATTCGAGCTAGCTATGCGAATTCTAGGGATCCTGGCGCTCACCTTTGTTTATCACCCCCCCGGCAGACGGTGATGCCATGGGCGCCCACCGCAATGTCGCATCGCGTGGCACTTTCATTGGTGGTCACTCCGCTGAACAGCTCCTCGCCATAACCCTCCAGATCCTGGATGGACTGGAGCAACCAGTACTTGGCCGACTTGAGGCTCATCTGCAGCTTGGCCAGCTTGCCATGCTCCATGGCTATTTGCCTCAGGTAATCCGCCGGCGGTTCACCCTCGGAGCTGGGCTGGATCAGGTACTCCTCGTACATGCGCAGCGGATTGCTGGCCAATCGCTCGTCCAGACCCGTTTGACTGCTACTATTGCTGGGACTGCTGGAGCTGCTGTTCGAGTGGGTTTGCGAGCAGGCGGATGTGGAGGCGGATGCTGAGGCTGAGGCTGAGGCGGAGGCGGATGGCGAGGGCTGGAGACTGCAACTCGTGGCATTAGTTGTGGGCAGGGTGCAGATCTCGATGTGCTCCATGGACTTTTGCTTGGACAGGCGTCGCTTTTTGAAGCTCAGCACATGCTCCTTCTCCTTGCGCTGTTGCTCCAGCCGCTGTTGCTGCGCCTGCTGCTGTTGCTGCTGCTGCTGGGCCAACTCCCGCCTCATCCTCATGGGACAGTCGGCCCTAAGGGAGGATTCATTGAAGCGTAATCCATCTGCCTGGCAGAGCAGTGCCGCCAGCTTGGCCGCTCCACTCCAGTCGGGTGCAGTGAGGCGACCCTCGAGCAGATCCCGCCTGGCCTGCATGTAGAACAGATTCCTCACACTCTCCTGGAGGATGAAGTGCACCGGCACCCAGAACTTGACCCGCAGGGCCAGCATTAGCTGAATGCCACTGCCACTGCTTCCACTGTCGCCGGACAGCCGGTTGCGCAGGTTGATCCACTGGCGCGTCTGCGACTCCTTCTGGTTGGGCGTCCAGTGCTCCAGGCCGAAGTACTCCATTTCGCAGATGATGTTCAGGGCACGACAGACCTGAAATGGCAGAGATTATGGGGATTTAGTTTGGGCGTTACTTAGACTTTATATGATATCTTTGGTATATAGCTTTTATATTTATTTTGAACTACAAAAATATCTCACGAGGTTTGAAATCACTTACTAGAGGGCCTAAAAGTATGTTACAATATTTTAAAAATGGGTAAGATTTTTGTATTATTATATTTTATTATATTTTTTGTAGCACACACATTTCTAAGTTGTTTTTTTAATCCAGAAATGTTTGTTTTAAAATAAAGTCATTTAAAACATCTGTTAAATATTTATTTTATATTTCTAAATTACGAATATTTAATCAGAGGTTTGAAATCACTTTCTATGGTGTCAAAAAGTATGCTACAATATTAAAATTTTTTTTTAAATGTATGAGGTTTGAAATGCAATTCTATAACATACATTTAAAAAAGATACAGGCTTCAATATTCATCTAGACATGTTTGGCTATGGTTAGTTTTAATCGCTTTAACAAAAGAGTTTTAAGGGGAGTTCTCAAAACTTTGCGATTCTCTATCCAGTACTCTAAGCTAGATAGCATTTCTTTGTCTCCCAGCAGCGAATTAAAGTTTAATCTAAATGTTTTTCAATCTATTCCGGATCAGCGACTTATCAATTCAGCTTGACAGAGCCTGTCAGCGACATGCGGCCCGCGGAGAAAGCGGCCAAAAGCATGTCCTGTGTGGCCTGGCTATCTACCAACATTTTGCCATGACAGCAGCAACATCCGCAGCAGCAGCAGCAGATACAACTACAAGTGCCACTGGCAAGCGGATGGATTGGGATCGGGAAATGCGAGTGAAAAGTGGGGGGAAAAGCGGGTGGTACTAGAAACTGGGTGCTGCTGTGGTTTTCAGAAATATTTGCTTATGCAACGAGCGTGTCATCATTTCGAACGGAACGAGTTCAAATGCTGGCAGCAGCATCTCTCTTGGCAAAACAACATCCTTATGTGGTTCATAATGCTGCTGATGATGATGCCTGTCTGGCAGGCGGTTAAAGCCAACATGGCGAAACACCACACTTTCCCAGGCAATCCCCCGTAGGCAAGTTGCATTGGCTGTGGCCAAAATGAAATTTGAAAACGTCAAAACAAAATACAAGGAAAGCCTCGTATTTGTTTGAACGCCAGAGCCTTCGGGGCCCACCTTTAAATACTCCCATTTCCCGCAAAGATACATATTTATATATATATAGATATATGTGTACATTCCTTGCCCGCAGCAGCACTTTGCATAATGAGATATACGTATTTCCGAGTGTCTGGGTTAGCCAAGGCAACAAGTTGCTCACGCATCAACGCCTTCGCACATTTTTTTCACCATTTCCAATTAGGCGAAACCGCAAAAAACCCAGGGAAAAATGTAATGGATGACGGGGTGGGTGGTGTGTAAATTTATGAGCGGAATTATTAGCCATTAAAGTGAAATTTGAGACAATTTGTTCTAGTTTCGGTTGCAAATTGCCTTAAGGTTTATAAATGCTAAATGATAAATAAGCTGGTTTTCGTGTTAGAACTGAGCTTCAAATGGATTTGCATATTTTAGGGAATGTTAGAGGTTATAATCCAGTAAAATATGGGTTATTATGCTGATTTATACGTTTTACTGCATACTTTTAGGTGATAATAATATGGTTTTTAGAACTTGTTGGTTTGTTAGGTCTTTAAAAGACCATTTCTGTAAAACACCCATTATATCTAGTTTAAATTAGCTTGATTTTGAAAATATTTGATATCATACTGATATAAACATGTTATTGCATACTTTTAGTTGTTAATAACATGGTTTTTAAAACTTCCTGACTAGTTAGATCTGTTAAAGATACTTTTTTTAATTACCTTAAAGGCATCTATGAATACGTGATTCCCAATTCTTTGAAAGCATCCCAAAAAGTAATCAAATTTGTTGTTTTTTCCCGGTAAAGGAAGAATGAAAATTACATATTTCAGTATATTTGATGCTATGCAATTACGGCATTTCCCGGAAAACCCCTACCAAAGCCGAGCCTCATTCAGCCACACAATTTCACCTTGAACAAAGGACACCCGAGTGAAACTGGATTCGCAAAACGCAAAACGAATCCCTCGAATGGCACGTTGGACTAATTAAGACGACAGATGCTGTCGGCAGTTGCGGTTTGCAGTTTTCGAACCGCTTCAAGTCGAACGCAATTAATTAATCAAGTACGCAGATCAATTTACATGCCACTCGAGTCCAGGGGGCGGCGGTGGCAGCTGCCACATGGGGGCGTGGCAGCTTAGTAACGGTTGTTAGACAGCCGACAGAGAATTTGATGTTCAGCTTTGGGGACCGAGGCTTTGTGGCCCTTCCCAGGGATTCATGACATTGAATTGAAGTGGGTGGGGGGATGGTATTGAAAGGGGGGTTGGGTATTGAAAGCGGGGTCTTGAGATGTGGAAATGTCGTGGGTTGTCGTTGACAACCGAAGAGCGAATCTAATGAAGCCTCTCGAGAGCTTTTCCCGACATAATAGCTGAAATCTCATACTACGCAATTGCCGCCAGCGGAATGTTTAACAGAATTTAGGGAATCAACAAGCAGATGGCGCATAAATCTGTCGTAACCCAAAGCCATTAGTGCCCAAACTTATTACATTTCGCAATGAAGTAATTTCGAAACGTAGAAACGTTTTCGAAATATTCAAACATTTCAGGGTTAGAAACCCCATAAATTTATAAACAAATGTTGCGTATTATGTGTAAACAAATAAAATGGCTAACCTTAGGTATAAGATTTAAAAACAGTTGATCATCTATGAAACAAGAAAGCTGATTTTATAATTGCTTAACCATTTTAAGAAATATCTTGCTAACCTGTTTTTTGTTTTGTATTGTATGATATTTTATTTAGGCTATCAAGTTCCTAAGATTTTATAATAATATTATTTAAAAAATAAATCGCTTAGTTTCCCATTTAAAGTAAAAATTCTTTTAAATGGTATGCTTAACAAATCTAATTAGGAACCCTTATGAAGCGCATTATCATCCCCAGCTGGGCTTTAATTTTTAACAATATTCCTAACCCGTTTTCCACACTCACCGCAAAACTCTAAATGCCATGCAAAGTTATTTAAGCATTTTATACCAATTAGGCAACACATTCATTCCAACAAGTTGAGCTCATAGAAATAATTCTCTAGATTTTTTTCGATTTATTTCGGATTGGAGAGCAAAACGTGGCAACAGGCGGAACAAAAACAAAATCAAAAACCAAAAAAAAAACCAGCGGCTGACCGACCATATGAACATTCATTCACCGCAGAAATAACAAAAAAAAATCTGTCTGAAAATACAGAAAATCGTCGCTGGCTTCGCCGCTGTCAAGTGCAAAGTCCACTTTTGTGGATTTCGCTAAAATTAAATAAAACACGAAAGCGATTCGCTGCTGCCTGCTAAATGCGAAACGTGAACTTATTTTCAGAGCGCAACAATAGCGACAATCGCAAATAAGCCGGGAACCCAAGCTCCATAAAACCTGACATAACCGAAACTTTCGTAACTCCCATACCAAAATGCGACTTAACTTCGCAAATCCCACCCTATCCCACTACAACAACACAAATGACAAAAGTACCCTTCTTTTGATTATAAGCCTTAATGCATTTCGTAATATCGCGAGCACAATATAATAATGTCTTATTTGCTGACCATTTTCGGGGTTTTTACTACATATATGTATAGCTCGTAAAATCGGTCAGCAAAAAAGCATCTACTATATGCACGTGCTGTTATTTTACTTTGTATGAAGAGTCTTGGGATATCTATTTATTTTCGCCTTAAGAAATTTAATGGTGGAATTTCATTGAGCCTATTTATAGTTGTATGTAGTACATGTCTGGGTTAATTTCAATGATTTTATTACTTGTAAATAAGGGGGATTTTATTAGAGCTCATAAAATTTGTCAGGAAAATTTGACTTTACATTTTTGTGAGTTTTGATAGTTATATGTTTATTTAATATTATGAATAGTTCATTTTTTTGTCTTTAGATCTATTTATGGGTAATTTAAATTTGATTTTTCAACAATTTATTATTTCTGTACTTTTAATATAATTGTTTATTTTTTTAAATTGCGAATTTTCTTGTATATATAGTCTTGGTCAAGATGTGTGATAATTTTTAGTAATACCCATGTTTTTTAGCACTTTTAAATCAGCACGTGTAAAATGAATCTACACCTGTTTTTTATACATCACACCTCTGCTCAAGAGTCTTAAGAGCGCGCTTAAGGGAGAGCTCTCGGCAAAGGTAAACAAAGTGGAGCCGCGAGGAAAAGTCCAAATGGAGAGCCGAAAGAGACTGGGGCTCTCTCTTTTTTTCGGTACAGACAGCCATTGTAAGCGCGCGGGGGGAGGGCTCTTCGTGGGGGGAGACTATGACTGGCTGGGAGCAGAAAACCCGACTACATTGGACTTTGGACCCGAGTCTTCGAAATGCCAATTGGACTTTGGACTGGCACTCGCCTAGTGAGTGTTGTTTTGTTGTCTTGTTGTTTTTTGTTGCTCTGTGCTTTTGTTGTTTCTCCTGCTCTCCGTTGTTTATTATACATATATGTATATACAATGTATATATTTATGTGTGTCTCAACGATCGCTGTGTATTTTTCGTGTGTGCTTTGTATTTGCTTAGTTTAATGGCCGGCCGAAACCGAAACTGTAACTGTAATTGAAACTGAAGCCCATGACGTCAGTGGAGAGCCGACTTTTGTACTTTGAACCCCCAGGGGAGAAAGAAGAGAAAGGCAAGGAAAGAGTAAAGGCGATTAAATGCAATTCGAGCAAGACGACACACGTGCAAAACAAGAGAAATGAGTGGGGGACAGAGAGAGAGGAAGAGAAATTGAGGGGGGAGAGAGTGATCAAGGCTGATGCTGCCCACTCTCTTCCTCTTCTCGAACGAGATAAACAAAGACAGATGGAAATACAAATCCATTGGTTAGAGCTTGTTCGCCTTTTTTGC